GACAGAGGTCTTGCCCTTCTGAAATCTTCCTTTCTGTGGAAGACACAGCATTAAACACAATAAGAGAATAATAAAGATACTTCTAATAATCATCACTGACATTTGTTCAGTGCTTACTGCACATCAGAGATCTAAAATGCTTGGCACATATTAGCTCGATAATCTTCATAGCAATGTTTTATGATGCAAGGAAGGCTAAATTGAAGCCAATGTGGTCTGTGACATCAGACTGTGTGGATCTGAGCTGTGATGCCATCACAGCCGTTAAATATGGAATGTGGACAGGTTACTTAACCTGTAACTCAGCTTTCTCTTTATAAAACTGAATTAGTAGCAAGTTGTGCCAAGTTGAAGATGACTTGGAAGATAAGACACTCATTTCAAAGGAGACAAGGAAAATGTATCTTAGACTCTACTAAATAAGGTAACAACTTGAAGTAACAAAATCCATTATATACCTCGTTATCATGCTTAAATAAAAACACTAGAAATGTTTAAAAAGCATTAGTTAATTCTTTTCATTTTTAAAAAGGAAAGACTTTTGCAACAAACAAATATTTTTAGATGGGCAAAGCTATGGGGATTTGTATTAAACGAAGAAGCTAAGAACTACAGAATCGACCTCAACACTGATGATGCTCGGTACAAGCTGAAGAGTGAGGAGAGAGGGGGATTTCTAGATAAACCGGGGCAATGATACTGCCACAGGGAAAGTGTCTGGAAGCCTAAAGCCACAAATCAGTTAAGAACAGCACAGCCAGGTCAGCTTCAGGACAGGCATAACCTGGAGCAACAGGGTGGGTGTGGGGGAAGGAGGGAGGCAAACTGCAGGCCTCCTCAGAAAATGTCCTTTATTCAAACAGATAGAAGACCTGAAGGGCAGAGAAACAGGGTTTCCATCAAAGGCTAATGGAAGCAGGTTAGGTTCCATAGCAGCTGTAGTGGTCCAGGGACGCTTTTCCAGGATGCTGGTTTACACTAGAGCAGAATTCTCGACCTTGGCTCAGCTGACACTTTTTATCCCTTAATTCTTGGTTGTGGGCATTTTCTACATGTCTGAGGTCTGCCATCCTCCTGGCTTCTAGCCAGTAGGTACCAATGGCAATTTCTAGCTCTGATCATCAAAAATGACTGCAGAGAATCCTAAATATCACCTGGGGGACAAAAACCACTCCTAGCTGAGAGGAGGGGGCCAGTGTGATGCTGTGGAGCAGAGAGAGAGGGAAGTAGCTTACGGAAACCTGAAATGAAAATTCAACAGGGCCTACTGAACACCTAAAAAGGAGGGGAGGGGAGGCCCACCCTGAGGGTTCAGTCCTACACGGGCATCTGACTGTGGAGCTGAGGAGGTGGTGATGCCATATACTGAGAAAGGAAGCATGGGATTAAGAGCAGACCTGGGAAGCCAGCTATGTGCTCAGGTTGAAGCCTAGAGCATCAACAACTATCATCCTGACAGTCCAGGAGCCCAGGTGTCTGGAGCCTAGGCTGATATCCAAGCCAAAGCTTAGAATGAAAGCCAGGTAAGAGGACAAAATAGCTCAAGGTTATCAGCCCAGGAATGGTAATTGACAGGATCTATGCAAAAGTTTCACTTAAAAACAAAATTACTTAAATTGCATTATCTCACTGTTGGAGACCAGAGCATATCTATGATAAAGTCATCATAACCCTTCAATGGTATAAGACAGCATCTTCCAAAATTATTTCCATATTTTAAACCAAACAGATTCCCAAGAGCACAGGGACAAGCAGAGTGCACTTACACTGGAGAGTCGGCCCGTGAGATGCAACTTAAAAGTATATGTGGTTCACACCAATCAAGGATGCTTTTTAAAGGCTTAATCTGCAAAGGAAAGTTAAACATGAAGATCAAGAGTGACTTTCGGGGAGGGGGCTCCCACTTGTCTTTTTGCAGAAATCAGTGATCTCCTATCCCAGCATCTTGAATTATATTCTGATTGTAACTACCTTGCCTGAGACCCAAGCATTTCTCATCAGAACTCAGATTCACTTGATTTCTTCCCTAGTGGTGTATGATAAACATAAGGAAGTTCAATTCTTAATCACTTCAGATCTCTAGAATTTTTGAAGATGGAGCCCATGACCTTGGGGATTGCCTGCTGGGAGATAAAAGAAAACCCCAGTTCAGCTCTATTATTTAGCTCCCAAAGTCTTAACCTTGACTCATGGTATGCCTCGACGCCAGAGGAACTGAAAAGAACATCTGCTGTTCCCAAGCGGCCACCTTCCAGAGATTTCCATGGGCAGGTTTAAAAAAAAAAAAAAAGCCTTAGAAGAGAGGGAGAAAGAGGGGGATAGTAAAGACAGACGTGTGCTATTGTGATTTTCCAGGAAACGGTCTATTCAAAATATATTAACTATGCTTTAAGCAAATTATTTTTCACAAGAATCCTTACCACTTTTCATATATAATATCTTAGCGATAATGCCAGATTAATGCTCAACTTAACATAAATATATGAAGAAAATTATAGCCAACAGGATCCACTTTGGAAAGCATGACTCATTTCCTCATTATTTGGTAAGTATACTTTGCAGAAGCTTGAACTACTTAGACTTTAAAACCATAGTCATCTTCCATTAATACACACCACACAAATCACTACCTATCTGTTCTAGTTTGTTCTTCATTGCTGTGACAAAATACTCTGACCACTACCAACCTGGTGAGGAAAGGGTTTATTTTGTCTTACATCTCCCAGGTCACAGTTCATCAGGGCAGGAACCTGGAGGCAAGAACTGAAGCACAGGCCATGGAGGAATGATGCTTGCTGGCTTGCTCCTCTGGCCCCTGCTCAATCTGCTTTCTTATACTGCATAGGCCCACCTGCCCAGGGGTGGCAACACCCACAGTGGGTTAGGCCCTCCCCTATCACTCAATAATCAAGAAGATGCCCCACAGACATGGCCACAGGCCAGTCCAATGGAGGCAATTCCTCCCCTGGCCCCTGCTCAGCCTGCTCTCTTATGCAACACAGGCCCACCTGCCCAGGGGTGGCACCACCCACAGTGGGCCGGGCCCTCCCACATCACTGATCAAGAAGATGCCCCTCAGACATGGCCACAGGCCAGTCCAATGGAGGCAATTCCCCAATTGAGGATGCCTCCACCCAGGTGTGTCATGTTGACACTAACACCGTCCAGCACACTATCCAAGACAGACCTGCATTGAATTTACAAACAATCGGACTCTCACGGAGAATAAAAACAGGCTGCATCACCAACATGGCATCTGAAAAGATGTGTTTATACCAAGGACGAAAATGGTTCTCATATTTATCTCGGATGCTTTAGAACAGACTTTCTGTTCTCCTAGAAGTATTCACAAGAATCCTGCAAAGGCTTACAAGATCATCTTAACTGGCTCAAACCTCTACCTAGAGCCTTGGATAGCAGAGTGGACAGAGCCCCCAGTAAAGAGTAATCTCACTTCATTTACTTGGAAACCGACTGTGTGACAGTCACACGGCACAGAAGGATAATGGGAACATGCTACAAGATGTCACTGTCCAGTAGACGGAGGCAGACGGGTGGAACTTTCCTCTCTAGGTGTCTCACAGTTTCCACCAAAGCAAACCTGAGACCTTTATCCATCCATGGAGGCTCCCCTGGTGCTGTGATGCCTGTTCATGCTAAGTGGGAACATCTCTATACCACATTTCTTCTCCCACCTTCCTTGGATAGCCAGTTACTTAGAAATTCTCCTTAATCAGCTGCCTATTGCTTCCCATTTCTGTTACCACCTCCTTTAAGAACTGTGTGATAACTCTTTCTGTGGTAAAATCTCAAGTCTCTCTCCTCCTCGGAAAGTTGCATGGCTTCCCTTCGCCTTCAGCATAGCTCTGGACCTTCAGCATGTTTTAAAAGCTTTGAACTAGATCTCACCGTCTTTTAGATTCCACACCGATTGCACACTCGGTGCTCCGTGCTACTATTTCTCTGCTTCCCTAAAGAAGCCTATTCTACCTTAAGTCCTCCCATCAGCAGTCATGTCGCCGTTAGTCTGAATCAGAGTCCGCATATGATGTGTGGCATCCTGCCTCTCCTTAGTGAGGCACTGGTCACATTGGACCCACCGGTGCCCATCTGGCTTTGTTCCTGTGGCTTAAACTTCAAGATGATAAGCAACAGCCCAGGGAGCTGTGGTGCTGCAGAGCAAAGCAGTGGACACTTCTATCTCAAACCAGCTCAAAGGCTTCATCAGCTAAGGATCCTTAAGACAAGTCATACAAATGAGAGTTTTCAGAGAGACTAGCATAAGAAATTGGATGAGAATCCATAAGAAAGAATAGCAGCCTGGGCAAGGGAAGGGGAGCTAGGAAACAGAGAACTGAAAGGATCAGAACATGGGATTCCTGTAAAGCTCACGCAAGGAAGCTGACCTTTCTATCTAGACAACGAGCATCTTCAAAGGACCACAAATAATGGAGAGTCATGCTAGGGAAAATCCTTCTGGATTATTCAGGAGTGCAATTATAGTACTCCCAGGGAAGGGGAGACAAATCACATGAGCTTGAACTGAGAAGAAGCACGTCGGAGGACTGCATAGTCTTCAATATGAGTCCTGGGCTTAGATAAGCCAGGACAGAGGGAGCACGGGGCCAAACAGAAAAGACCCAAGAAGACACTTTTCAAGTACAAGAACTCAAAGGAGTAGCAGGAGGTGTTAACACAGCTTCGCAACAAGGATGCCGAAAGGAAGGTGTTATCGAAGTCAAAGGAGGGAAGAAGGGAGTAGGTCACTAAGTCGGACCAGGAAGGGAGATATTAACCTCTGAACGCAGTCAGAGGAATTTCCTTGAAGGCAGATGACGGGAGGCGGTAGAAATAAATAGACAGATTCCTATGGGGAAGTGGAAGCCTCAGCCCACACAGTTATTCTGAGAAACTGGGCTGTGAAAGAAAGGGAGGGTGAGCTAGCCAGAAGGGGAGACAGAGAGCTCGTTTTAATGACGGGAAGATCTGAGCACACTTACACGCTAGTGTAAAACAGTGGGAAAATATGTGACAAATGGCCCACAGACATGACCAGCTCCTCAACGTACACAATCACCAGCTGACCCCGAAAAAGGTAATTAGGACCTAGAGTGAAGAAAAACGTTCAGAATGATTACTAAAGTCAAATTTAAAGGCAAGAAAAATTCACAATGATGAACATAATAATGTAACTTTTATCTGGCAATACAACTGTGTATCTATGCTGAGTTTGATTTGACACTCTCTTGAAGCTCCTTTATTAGGGATGCAAGTAATACAGTTTATTTAAGTCAACTCTAAAATATACTGTGCTGTGAATGTTACTTCACTGGATGTAACAATGGAAGAGGCATCATGGGAACAAAGGCAATAGAGATACCCTCAAAGAAAGAGCTGAACATTCCAAATCACTCGCAGAAAAGAGTTCTAGGAAAAAACATATTTTAAAAATTAAACTACAGTGCTTAAATTTGAAATCTAAACCTCACACAGGTAATTGTCATATTCTGACACGTCAGTGTGATTTATTAATCTTTCACTCATCACTCGTGCACTGATGACCTCTTGAGTGCTCTGCGTAGAACCCTACACCTTGAAGAAAGAGGAGCAGTTCCAAAATGAAGATCCTTCATTAAAAATATACCACGTTAGGGTGGGGAGACGGCTCAGTGGGTAAAGTGCTATCATGCAAACATAAAGACAAGAGTCTGCGCCCCCAGGACAACCATAAGAAAGCCAGGAGTAGCCCCTTGCATCTGTGACCCAAGCACTGGGTGGGGGGGGGCAGACAGACAGGAGATCCACAGAGCAACCAGTCCAGCCAACTGTTGAGCACAGAGTCCCAAAAGATACGGTAGGAAGTGATCAGACACCCGATGCCACCCTCTGCCTCCACACACACAAAATGTACCATGATATTAGGAGAAAAATCATACGTCCACACGTGATGGTCACTGAGGAGCCATAGAGGGGATGAGTGTTATGCGCTGTAGCACAGAGTAACTGCACATGTCAAGCAGTGCTTTCAAAGAGCAAAGGCTTATTGCTAATGGGTTATTTGCTTACCAGTTACATGTAGTAAAAACTGACTGACAGAAAGTAAGAGAGGGTAACAGTGGTGGGGCGGCAGACCGAGAGAGACATGCAAGCCCAGAGGAGTGACACTCCATTTTTGTCACTTGAATTGATAATCACATTTTATAGCAGCCATTTAATTTTAATTTTTCTTCACTCATATTAAATAAAAATGTTAACAAGTTACCAATTAGGCAACATGAAAGCATTACTGGGCAAAACCTCCTCATTCTTTAAAAGATAAATGAAATTACATTAACAATTTCATCAAGTCACGGTGCAGGAACATGAAATCATGGTAAATTCTCCTTGAGTCAAAAAGTCAGTAAATTATAACACTGAGGGACTTTTCCCTCACTAAGCAAGATTCAGACACTCCCTGTATGTACTATGCTAGTCTTCACGTTCGGACCTACTTGATCTGATTATCTGACACCACTTTCTTCTTTTAGTTGCCAGTCATTTGGATGATTTCAATATTTATGTGATAACTATCAATACCACTTTCTTCTACCTGCCACCTTTTATATTTGTACAAATATCTAACAACTACCGTTCAGCCCCTATGTGCTTATTCATACCAATGACTTGTCTCCAAGGATAGACATTCAGCTCCGCCTCACTGATTCTCCAGCTGTCCAGCTGAAAGCCACGCGTCCTCATAAGAACAAACCCCATAGGAGGTCCGTTCAAAGACGGAAGCAGTAACATCAAGGACACTTTGATAGGGAGTGCTCGAGTGACTCTTGAGACCACAGAAGTGGTGGTAAAAGATGGCACTGATACAACAAGACTCCCTGACTGCATCACAGACCTGCTGAGTAGGACATGAAGCTTTCCTAGCCTTTGCTCTACAGCTCTGTGCTTAAATCTCCATCTTTACATGTCTCCATCAGATTTCATAAAACCTCTTACCTACCCATTTATGAAAAAGTTAAAATCTGGAAGGCCATTTCCTTTATCGATAATATAAAAAGTACATTGAGGCCCTCTTCTTAGCTGTAAGTATTAACTGCTGTGGAAATGAAGAAAATGAAAATCCTCTGTAAAATATCTTTAAAATAGCATTAGAACATCATGCTTGCTTATAAACAACGCTTTCCTGTGCTCACCCAGTCCCAGAGGCTAATGGGACTCTCAGCCTGTTCCAGTCCAGGCTTCGGTTCTGATGAACCATTTTAACCTTTTAAATATCACTGTCAGATGGAAACGGCCCAATGAACTTTAAAATTTCTTCTTTTTTTTGCCTCCTGTATAACATCGCTTCTCTTCTTCCTTTGATGCCATTCATGAAAAGAACATTCCATCAAGAAATTTCCTTAATTGATTAATGGGTTTCCATCAACCAACATAAACTCAGGTCCCAAATAGAACCTCCAACACACAGTCTAACATCATAGCTGACTCAACGTGTTTACTGCTTGGTTCTGTGACTGCACATTTACCTGTTTGTTTGACTGGGTTTTAAGAACAAAAATGCCATCCAAGGCCTACGCAAGACTGGGGTAGAAACGGAGACAATGGAAGGGGAAGAACCACCTTTTACCTAAGAGCAGGTGAACCTCTAACAGCCACCCCAAGCCACCCGTGCCCTGTGCAGTGGGGCAAAGCTGCAGAAACAGCACGCTAAGAAAGGGTTCCAGGCAGGTTGATGAATTTTGACGACTTCACGTAATCATAATTTTACTGTTACAGGAAGAAAGACATCGTTATAAAGACTGCCACATAATATCTATCTTACTCTAGAACTTGCAAATATCCACACCCGCCTCCTTCTGGGAAGGAGCTTCTCTGTAAGCACTCGCATTATTTTAGAATCAGTGAGAGAGGAAGCAAACATACCTCTCATTTGCCAGACCAGTGAGAAAGTCCAGAAAAGCAACGGTGCAGAATTGCAGTCCAACTGCCCGCATGTCCCGTTCATTAAGAAACGGTTATTTGTATGGAAAAGACACATAGGCATCGTTTTCTTCTTTAAACGGTCAGAGATACACCGTCTTTACCAGCCTCTCAGCAATATTTGTTATAGAACAGTCATTTTCCCAATTTATAACCGGCATTTGTGAGGGTGGGACATTCATTTCCTTACATTTGAAAAATACATTAACTGGTGGCCACCAAGTTGTGGAGACTCAAAAAGAGCATGCTACGTTGTTAATCAAAGCTCATTTACCTCCCATACAGAATACATAGACCTATAGTCCACTCAGCAAATGACTAGTAAATAGGAAATCATAATCAAGGCCATAATGCACAAAATGCTGAGTATGTGCTGATATGGAGGAATTTAGGAGTGGTTAGCCAGGCCAAGGAAGCCTGTAAAGATGTATGTTACATATTATACAATACAGATGTATATGTTATACTATATTATATCACATATAATTGACACGAAATTGTAACTATTTACAGGGTAATGCGATATTTCACACATTTCTTTCTCGGTTCCTCTGAGTCAAGGTCTCTTTACGTAGTTCAGGATGACAATAAACTCTTGATTCTCTAGCTCAACCTCCTGCATGATCAAGATTTCTTAGGACAGACATGACCAAAAATAATTTTTAAACACATTAGCCAGGTAATAGGGTTGGGTACAGGAAGGGAGGTAAACTCAAGATATATTTTACAATTACAATTTAGAACATCAAAAATAAAATATATTGCATTTAAAAGAGTGTCAACCCTACGATTCAAAATGGGAACAGGCAATTATTTCCAATGCTAAGGAAAAATTAGAATGTCATTTTCAAAATCACATTCAAATATACCCCAGGGCAAACATCATCCTGGGATTCGTGTGCAATTCTTTATTTGTTGTCTGGTGGAGGATCTTATCACTAGCCAACACACCTGTTTTGCCACAATATTTACATAGAGAAATCACATTGTTTCACTGAGAAATCTTGCCATCCTCTAAAATGCTTAAGATGCTTAGAAATGATGAGGATTCACGGCCTTGAGATTTACAAGGATGTTGCTGCTGCCGTTCTTGAATTCCTTTTAACAGTCACCTGCATGGCTCTCCACTTGCCTACGGCATGAGAATGCAGCGCCATGGATTTCTCTAGTCCATGGATGTGAGTCATAAGGGTTTTCACTGTTTGGAAATTTCAAACTTGGGAAAATGAAAATGTCAAAATGGCCCCACCCTATATTAACAGTATTCCCTAATTGTAGGCAGCACCACCTCAGTGCTGTACATGGACTTACGTGTCAGGCCAAACACAATACCGCAGAGCTAGGAGGTAGGTTTTGAAGTCAAGGAGACAGAGGACAACCCTTTTACCATTTACCATTGACCATTACCACTGTAAAATGGGCAGGATAATAGTTATTACAGCAGCTATTACCTTTAAAAATACAACATGGTAAAACATTTAGTCTATCACCCAATACCTAGGGGAATCTCCATAATATCTCTAACAATGAATGAAATTATTGCTTTACTTAAATCTAAAGCCCAGTCATGAAAAAAATTCAGTTAAAAAAATCTTCCAATGCACACATTCAATTAAGACTGAGATACTCTGTCATTTCCCTGACAAAAATGCCTTGTCAGAGGAGGCCCCGAAGGAAACCTTGGATAGCCGCCCGTCAATGGGTAAAAGACACACAACACAGCTAACCCTCGGCAACAATGCTGGCAAACTGCATTCGTGCTAAAAGGGTTGTGCCCTCTGGCCACGGGGGATGCATCCCAGGAATGCAAAGGTGGTTCGATACCATGACATATCACATTAGAACAAAGAAAACACACACAAACATATTAATTGATATAAAACACATCTAAGAAAAGTCAACGTCGCTTTCACGATAAAAAGACTCAGAAAACAAGTAATAATAAAGGACATTTTTACCAGCATCGTTCTTATTGGTGACAGACGGAAGAAGGCTGTCCCTGCTGCTCTTTAACACCGTGTTGGGATTTTCTGACAGAGCAGTTTTACAAGAAACAAAAAGACATCAAATCGGAAGGAGCACAATGTAAAACTATCTTTGTTTACAGGTGACGTGATTCTACAACTATAAAGTCACAAGACATTCACAAGAAAGACAGCAAATGTAATAAGTGAAGCCAGAAATGTAAGTTATAGATCAACAGTCAAAACGTTATACAGACCGATAATAAGGTAAAACGGAAATCATTAAAGCAATTCTATTAAAGTAACATCTAATGGCAAAAATACTTAGGGCACGAATTTAGTCAAGAAGATAAAAAATTGTACACTGAGAGGTACAAAGTGGAGCAGAAATAAATTAAATTATTATTTAAATTATTAAAAATATTTAACTTATGAAAAATCAGTAGAAGAGACCCTATGTTCTTGGATCAGAAGTTTCAATTCTATGAGGATGTCCCTATTACCGAAGATAGCCACAGACTCAAATAAATCCCTGTCAAAATCCCAACAAGCTCTCTAGGAGAAATGAAATAGATAATCCTGAAATTCATCTGGAATTTCAAAGGGCCCAAGATAATCAAAACAGTTTTGAAAAAGAAGAACAAAGTTGAAGGCTTCATACGAACGTTTTAACTTATAGCAAAGCAACACTGACCCAAATGTGGCAGTACTTGCATCTAGAAGGACAGGGTATAAAAGAACAGAACTGAAAACGCAAAATAAATTCACGCATCTATGGCCAGATGATTTGCAATAAGGTGCAAGTCCATTCAATGACGAGAGAACGGCCTCTTCAAGTGCTGGGACAACTGGGTTCCACATGTAACAGAATAAAACTGGACAGTTACAGCACACCGTTTATGAAAACAAACCAAAACTGGACCACAGATCTAAATATAAGCTTTAACCACAAGAAGGCACAGGGACAATCTTTACGATCCCGGATTTGGAGATGGATTCTCCTAAGTAATAAGAGGAAGAATAGGTAAACTGGACTTCAAAATTGAAGGAAAACTTGCATTAAGGGAATATCATGAAAATGAAAGGAGAAGCCAAAGAACAGAAAACATCTGCAGATCCTGTATGTGAAGAGGGTAGACGACAGAATACGTAAAAATCTCACACACCGAAAAGAGAACCCAAATTGGGTGGTTTCAGTAAGAAATGTCCTCCACACAGCCAGCTATTTGAACACTTGGGCCCAAGCTGGTGGCTCTGTGTGGGAAGGTGGGTTGGTGTGGCCTTGCTAGAGGAGCATGTCACCAGCGTGGACTTCACGCACTCATGCCTTCTCCATGTCTGCTTTCTCTGCTTTTCAGTAAAAGATGTGATTTGTCAGCTTCAAGCTGCAGCTGCCTGCTGTCATGCCCCCTGACCCTGTGCTGACGGACTCTCCCTCTGGATCCATAAGCCCAAATAAACTCTATCAGAACCCGCTTTTGGTCATGGTGTATATTATCATAACAACGGAAAAGTAACTAATACACCAATTCAAAAAGCAGACAAAGGACTTGAAATGAGAGTTCTAAAATTTTTAAAGACATATAAATAGCCCATAAACTCATAAAATGGGTTCAAAACCTCATTCATGAAAATGCAAATCAAAATCACAAACACAATGAGTTTTCACTTTATACCCACTAGCATGGCTACATGAAAATGTATAAAATAGAGTTGGTAAGGATGTGGAGAAATTAGAACCCCGGAATTGTCATATGGCCCAGTTATTCCACTAAGTATATACACAAAAATTGAAAATGAGGTCTTAAAAAGATACTGCATGCCAATGCCCAATGTGGCTTTATTACAGTATCCAAAAAGTATGAACAACTCAAGTGTCTATCAACAGATAAACAGATGGACAGAATACTAGCCAACAGCAAGAACAACCCGTGATAGATGAATAAGGCCGACAGAAGGGTTTGCTGATGGAGCATCTAGAACAGGTAATTGCATAGACAGAAAGCAGATGTGTAGTAACAAGTGGGAAAGGGATGGGAAAGAGGGCTGAGGACACATTATTTAGTGGGTGTGTAGTTTCTATTGGGAGTCACAGAATTTTATGGAAATAAATCATGGTGATGATCATACGGAATTGGGAGTGGAGAACATGGCTTAACAGCACACAAATGGAGAAAATGGCAATTTTCATGCTATAGATATATAATATATATGATATATAGTATATATAAGATATCTATAATATATATGATATATATATCACCACAATAAAAAGTTTTAAATGTATCTAATTAAAGCATATCATTGCCATAATCAGGCAGTCAGCGTCTTCATCAGTAGCCCAGAAATCATAACAATGCTTAAACATTTCTAGATGAGGAACTGGAGAGACAGCTCAGCAGTTCAGAGCACTGACTGCTCTTGCACAGGACCTGGGTTGGGTTCCCAGCACCTACATGGCAGCTAACAACCGTCCGTAACTCCAGTTCCAGAGGATTTGACACTCTCTTCTCATCTCTGTGGACACTGCACAACACATGTGCACTTACACACATGCAGGCAATACACTCATACACATAAAATTAAATTACATTAAATTAAATTAAATAAATAAACTATTTTAAATAGTTTCTATATACTTCCTCTAAAAATGGATTAAGCATGTGATAAAGTTGAGCAAACAAATCACGAATAAATGAATAAGCAAATGATGGTGAGAATTTTTTTGTTCTTGTTAACTAACCACTGATTTTGTTGTTGCTATTTGACGACCCTGTTCCATCATTACTAATTCACCACCACCAGGAATTTATAATTTTATTTTAGGTGACTGAGTGTAGGGACACCATCAGGTGGTTTGTTACTAATCATTTAAAGAAATACTCTGTGGAGTGATGCCATACCATTGGGATGTATGTAAAATCTCAATAAGCCCAAGGCAATACCTAATAAATTAAATCCACTTTTTCATTTAACTATTCAATAAAAATGAATATACTAGCATGTATTGCCACTTATTAAAACACAAAACACCTTCTTAGAGAAACAGA